CAGATGAAGAAAAACATCCCCAAAGCATCATGCTGCCACCACCATGCATCACTGTGGGTATGATGTTCTTTTGGTGATGCGCAGTGTTGTTTTTGCAGCAGACATGCCTTTTGAAATTGCGGCCAAAACATTAAACCTTGGTTTCATCAGACCACAACACTTTTACCACATGCTTTTGGGAGACTTGATGTATGATGATGAAAATGTGGATGGGGCTGTATGTTCTTCTTTGTAAGAAAAGGTTTCCGTCTTGTGACCCTACCCCATAGTCCGGAGAATGCAGGAGAGTGACATACTTGCCAGAAATTCCTGCAGCTCCTTCAGTGCGGATGTAGGCCTCTTATCAGCCTCCCTGACCAGTCTTTGTCTTGTCATCAATTTTGGACCAACTTCCAGTTCTCTGTAACATCACTGTTGTCCCGATGACTGTCTTCACTGTGTTCCATGGTATTTCTAATGCCAACTGATACCTTTCAACAATGAGACCCCTTTGATGCTTGTAAGCTCTCTGTGAACCATGGCTTTTGCTGTAGGATACAACTGAGTAAATGTCAGGAAAATCCTACTAGGACAGCTGAACTTTATTTGGTGTTAATCAGAGTCACAGTAATCAATGGCAGATGTGTACCTAAAAAGACTGAATGCTGTAACTAAATCAAAAGGTGCTTCAACAAAGCATTAGTTTACGGGTGTGCAGACCTACGCACTCCATGCTTAGCTTACAGCTTATTGTCCTTTTTTATTTTTTGTATTTCCCCCCTAATAGATTTGTTTGTCTTCAGTTGAATTGTACAGGTTATAGGTCACATTAAAGGTGGGAAAAATTTGAAATGATTTATTGTGGTCTCATTTTTTACATCCCCAAAACCAGGCATTTTAACAGGAGTGTGTAGACTTTTTATATCCACTGTATACTGTAGGCATCTAAGGATTTGTATGTGTGCAGATTTTCTTTTGTGTGAACACCAGGCTTCCCTATGAGATAGTTGTATGTATCAGGCTACATGATTGCTGGCCACTTGGACATATTTAAAATCTATTTGTGCTCAGGAATAGTATTCGGATCTGGTAATATGTCACCATTACTGAAAACTAATTTATTGAGGTATTCGGCACAGTCAGAGCAACGTGGGCTTCCAGTGTAATTTGTGCCACCCATTTCCTCACTTTCACAGACCCAGCTACAGTAGCTGTCATGTCTTGCGCAGTATGTTTACAGTAGCTGTCAATTTCAGATGTGGCATTTCGTAAAGTTGCCTCGTTTTTACTCTGACTTACTTATCTGAGTAACACTAATGTTACCTCCAGGGTCCTCATGTGGTCAGATGAGGAGAAAATAGACAAGATCAGCAACCAACAAAACCAGGTAAGCTGAACGCAATTCACAGGACACATCAGCCAACCGTAAATGTTTTTGTGATTCAACTGGCTCCTTTTTGCTAAACATTTATGTCAATAGAAGACAATTTCACAGAGACCTGATGACTATACTGAAAGTTAACGATTGTTAGCTAACGTTTTACATAATGTTATATTAATATGCAAATGATAGACAAACAGATCCAACTCTGAAATGACATTTTATTATTGAGTTAAGAAGAATTTACTAACAATGCAAAATCTACATTGTTTACAATGGGTGACTCTGATTTTGTGACTGGATACCAAAGCGGTTCTGCCCCTTGGGTGCACACACACCCAGTAATGTTTGTAAACAGGAAACCCATCTGTAAACCCAGGGCCGGCCCGCCCTCCGAGATCTTGCCTATGGTGCCAGAACATCCAGCGTTGGCCCTATATAAACCTCACCGTGAAGCCTTGCTTTCACCTAGAGTAGGCAGTGTTTAAAAATCCACCTAAAACTTACACTAAAAAGCATCTCAGGGTGTGTTTGAATTCATAAAAACTCTCCCTACAATGTCAGGTGTCTGCGCTAGAAGTGCTGACTGGTGAAAACCTCTTACATTAAGTCTGGCCTGCTCTAAGTAGTTTTGATCAGTTTAATTATTTCCAAAGACGGGTATCACAGGTGATTTAAATAGCAATAAACAGAAAACGCCAACGATCACTCCCAAATGGTCGTGCGAATCAGTGAACAGCCGCAGAAACCATCAATACTGTATGTATCACATTTAACCACATGTGCAATAAAAATACAACATAGTTATGGATAAAATGACTAAAACCCCATGTTAGTATCCATGTTTATAAATAACTCAGGGTGTATTTTAACCATGGGTGCTGTAAAGACCCGAAAAGCACAGTCTGCCTTTGGAAGGACAACTTTTGGGTACAGTTCCTGTCTTCCACTGTTTCTCTCGGCCTCTGTTTTGACCATTCAGGTGTTTCCTGAGCTTCTGTTTGATCTACTGTAGAGGTTAAGAAGCCTTGTCCTTCCTTTGTAAATATTTAATTAAGTAGATAATATAATACCAAGCTAAGCTGTCAGGAGATGGATGGATTTATGAATGGTAAATATCATAGTAGTGTCATTCAGCAGGATTGTGTAGCACCTCACCAGAGGCACCAACACAGCCCTCTGCTGACCACCAAAAAGTTGCAGCACTGTTGATATTGAGTTGCACCAGCTGTTTCCCACCTTTTAATTGGCTCTGAAAAGGTGGTTGTTTCTTGCGTAACTGCGTGTTCTGTTTCCAAGGAAACAAGAGCGGGCAGAAAATATTGGAGTTTTGAAGGACCATGGCCTTTTGAACGGACAGAATAAAAGGAGATCAGACTTTTGTGCAAGCACTCCCACTCAGTGGACGTGCAAGTTTGCCGCTTGAAGTTCCTGGCCTTGATTTTTTTAAATCTGTACTTTCATACATATGTGCTTCAAGGCACTGAGCTATGCTCCTTTCCCACATCGCTAGCTTGCATAGTTCACTTAAAGGTTTTCATTCGGCCGACAATGAAATGAAAGCTCTTTTCTCTATGGCAACAAATCCAAACATAACAGTAAAACAAACATGGATACCTGGATGGTGGAACTAAAATCAACTCAACTTTGGATTTTTCTAAACATTTATACGGACCAAAATGTACATGTAACTGATTTGGCCATAAAATATCTCTGTGTACCTGACATTATGATGACAGGGACATAACTGCAGAAATTTGAAAAGATGGAAGTGAGCCTAATCTGTAGTGTTAGTCTGAAACCTTAACATCACAGGTGTTAGGGCAGATGTTAGCTGAACACAGCAGTCTAGAGCCCTGGTAAGATGAGACAGCTGATTCTCCCTGAAACAGGATCTCACCTGACCGCTGTGTGACCCCTGGCAGTGACAGTGCTGTCCATAAAAAGTGTTTTGTAATAGTCGAATATTAGAAATTGTTGATTATGTTTATTCAGGCTCACTGGACAAAATAAATGCCAGCCTACCTAGAAAACTATTTACTGCAGCCATCCAAGGCTGCAGATACTGAGCCAGAATTGGGTTATAGAATGAAAATTACACTCTCCATTGCAATTGTGAAGAATGATACGACAGGAGAGCATTTTAGACACAGCTGTAAAAACCTTTCTTCATCTTGCACACTGTCTACATCTGCACCCTTCAGTGTTTGCTGAATTTCCCTGAACCACAGTATTTTGAGCAAGAATGAATCAGAGTGACTGGAGGCTCTTAAGTCAACACTGCTGTATCAACTGGCACCCCCTGCTGGCTGGCCACAGAATCACAGTGACTCTCTGCTTATACACCTGCATTACAATGTGCAGCTGTTGTTGTTTGTTTTATCCTTTTTTTTAATAATGTTTAAAAAAAATTTGGATAATGTTCCTGGCCAGGTGCCAGAAAAAGCCGGCATCCACGCGAATAGGATTAACTGGCACTTTTGACCTGCCGATTGTCGTGATCGCTGAAGTGGCAGCAATTTTACAGCGTGTACATTCACATGCAGGCACATGCGCGGATGTGAGGCACTCATCACCGTCGATAGTGCCATACACGAGTCCTTGTAACTACCAGTTCGTCACATAATTGAAGTAGTGTGTGTGTGTATGGGGGGGGCGGGGGGCATTTTTCCCATTAATGATGATAAAATGTTACAGGACCCTTGGTAGCACTGAGAGTAAATCCCGCCCCCCCCCTACCGTATTTCTCTGTGAAGGTCAGACTCCTCACAAAGGCTGAGTAACATGCTGCTGATGCCTTTGAAAAGCGCTGGTCCTGCGCGGCCAGCCAGACCGATGACAGCTAATTCGCAATTAAGGCTGGAGAGAATTCTGATCAGGACCAGTGAAAGAAAGATATACACAGGTATTCAGCCGTTTAGGGTGGACGACCAAGCCTGGATAATAGGGGGCTTCTGCACATCATAACGATGATATTTTGAAAGGGAGTCCCATGTTTTGATTAAGATAACTGTAGGCAGGTTCAGCATATATCCCGGTTAAATCAGATAGTATGTAATATAATATAATATAATATAATATAATATAATATAAAGTGTCTAATTTCACCCATTAACTATAAAGCTCCACATGGCTGCCGTTGCTGCATGCATGATGTAACACAGCGCTGGCAAGTGTGCGGCACCAGGCTGAGGGGACTGTGATTTCACCGGTCAGCACAGCGACCGGTGGGGCGAGCAACCGCCACGGGGTTTCGATCTGGTGATTAGCGGCGCCATTTAGGCTTGTTTAGCTAAGTGGGGGGGTGGGGGCTGTGGGAGGCACCTGTGTGGAGACAAGCGCGTCACCAAGGCACCTGCCATCTCTTGGGTCGCGTGTAAAAGTGACACAGGAGCCGGAGCATGGCCGTGTGGCATGTCACTGGGGCGTCGCCACGGAAACTGCCTCTGCCACCAACACGCACACATAGGATGGCACAGATCCAGGATGGACCGTCAGGGCTGGCTGCTCCTCTTCATTTATAGAGAGAGTGATGGAAAGAATAAGAGAAATGGAGGAGATGGGGGGGAGAGAGAGAGCGAGAGAGAGAGTGTGAGGGAGAGCGAGGGAGGAGGAGAACACAGTCCCTGGGACGAGCGGAGACCGGCCGCTGTTCCTCCCGAGCAGTGAGCAGTGCTGCAAAGTGGCTGAGGGACAGAGCAGCCGTTTAAGAGCCCAGCCCCATGGCCGAGCCCCTGAGGGGGCAGCCTGGGGGGCGGGGCTCCCCTGCGGGGCCGCCCACGGGAGGTCTGCCACTCGCCGGAGCCCTGCCCCCCTCCCTCAGACCCTCCCCTTCTTGGGGAGGAAGAGGAGAAGGACTGCCAGCGGCAGGAGCGAAGGAGGAAATAGGGCAGGTGTGCCTGGAAGGATGGAGCCCAGCTCCAAGAAGCAGGGCTTCAAGAAGTGCCGGAGCGCCACCTTCAGCATCGATGGCTTCAGCTTCACCATAGGTAAGGGGGTGGTGGGGGGCTTCCAGCAGTTTAAAGGGGAGATGGAGGCACCTGGCTTCCCAGGATGGGCGTGTTCAGCTTCCACAGAGATAAAAGGCTTTAAAGATGGCAAGGAGTGCACTTTTACCACAGGTGGAAGTTATGGTGCTTTTCTGGGGTGAGGAAAGAGGAAAGAGCTCTGCGATGCTGCAGGTGGAGGTAGTGCTTCTCTGGGGCAAGTTACTCAGTCAGGCCAGGTGTGGAGGTGCAGGTGGAGGTGCAGATGGAGGTGCAGGTGGAGGTGCAGGTGTGATCCCTGTGTGTCTTTCTGTCAGCTTGCTTCCCTTCAAGAAAAAATGACAGGACTTCACTGAGGTCAGAAAATTTCAGGTGTCCTGGGAGGGCGAGCAGGTGTCACTG